ATTTTTATAGAAGTTATATTAATTAAGGTTGTGTTGCCTAAATTTATAAAGAACACATACAATAGTGGAAATACATTATGTGCAAATTTATTGTCATAAATACAACATGTTAAAATAACGCACTATATGCTAATATATTCTGACTGAAATTGAATTTCAACTGTCAGTTATGTGAATTAAAATTTTCAATCTTTTTGCACCTTTTGTTATTGTTTTGTATATATACACATATAAACTTAAGTCTAAAAGATATGGTATATTTATAAGAGAACAATTTTGCAGGGATTATGTAATATTCATATAAAGTAAACAAAGCCTTATATATTGGAATTTCCTTATTTATTTACAAACATTTGAAGAAACCATGTTTGATGGATATACTTTTCACAAGTTGTGAAGAACACCTATTCAGTGTAAAGGTATAAAGAACTAATTTGTATAAACTCAAGATAATAATATATTAATGTCAATATTTTTTAAACATTTTTATGCATTTATAAAGCAAGTATAAATAAATAAACGTATTTAGAAATAAATGCACATATAAAATTATGTAAATGCGTACTTGCAATTTTTTTTTTTAGAAATCTATATTTTAAACAGTCTACAAAGTTCTTTACTTGAATACAAGATTAAGGTTTAATGAAAATATTTTTTTTCTTTTTAATAAAACTATTTAACACTATTAAAAGTGTTCTTTGCACATAGGAACAAATATTGTAATAATTTATGTTATAAATTTGAAGTACAATAACTTAAAACAAAATTACTAGTTAACAGAAATTTTCTGTTCATTTTTATTTTAATTCGTAAATAGACCAAATTCTTATCTATTAATATATTTTGCTTATTTCACTTTTTGTTCCAACAGGAGATCCTACAACAAGATTTGGGTCAGGAACCAATTATATTTTTAAAAGATATAAGCTTTGAAATCTTGAAGGCCATGGTTGAATTCATGTATTGTGGAGAAACCTCTATTCCTCACCAATTATTGTCACCTTTGTTAGCTGCCACAAAAACTTTTAAGGTTGGTATCATATGTACTAATTAAAAGTTATTTTAAGCATACATTGACATATTTGCAATAAAACTATATAAAATTTAATAACAAACAGTCATCCTTAAATTGTAGTAGAAATATTATTTTTTAATGTTTGTTAAAAAGATTAATATTTTCTAATTTATCACCAAAATTATGCTAAGACATGTAGTATACTTATAATAATAAACATACATATTAATTAATAGGAAAATTCTAACTTCATTAAGGAATAACAAATATTTTTTTCATACTTATCATTTTCACAATTAGAATCTTAAAATTTAAATCTTGTATAAGTGTATAGGATTTGAGTATATAGAATTATTACTAACAAATTTCATGGAATAAAATCACAACATTTACCAAATAATATTATTAAATTTTTGGGATAAATGTTCAAAAATATGTCTAAGTGTAAAATTTGAGTTTAAATTTTCTGCTTATAAATAAACACTTTATGCATCTATCTGCATAACTTAACTTTTTGAATTTGTAATCCTTTGCACTATAAGATCACAGTTGACATGAGAATACTAATTTTTTCTAGAAGATCTCCGAAAAGATTTCTATTCTTCTTACTGCCATGTATTTTCACTAAACATGATGCATTCCTTTCTATTTTACAAATAAATTATTCCAAAACAATTGCAAATATTATAGTATTACATTAAAATATGAAAATTAATTATAACTAATGCCTGTTGAAAAATTACATATGTATATATGTTTCTTACATGATAATAATAATGATTTTTTTATACACATATAGGTTAAAGAGTTAACAACAGTGGTTGATTCCATGATGAATTCTCAAGTAGAAAATTTTGAAACTATTGCAAGTATGGACAAAAAAGTTACAGAATCAAAGATTATAGATAATAAAAATAATGACATTAATTATACACATGTAACTTGTAATGAACTTGTTAAAGATGAGTGCTTTGTACTTTTTAATAAGGGCAACAGTGTTGTGAGTTTGAGTGAAAATGAATATTTAGAAGGTAACACAAGTAATGATTCTCCTAAACAGGAATTAGAGCATATGGTATATGAAGAGTCAGAAGATTTTGAAACTAATGCAGAACAAACTAATACACTTTTTTCAGTAGCCAGTTCTGCAAAATTAGTAAAAAATAAGAATTCAATTTTTTTGACAAATGGTAAAAATGAAAAAATACCAATCAGGTGCTCTGAAAATAGATTGATAAATAGTGATACATTGTGTACAAATAGTGAATTAAAACCTATATTATATGAACAATGCTGTGATCTTTCAGATATTGATGAATGTGATGAAAGTTCTATGTTGTTATCACAATCTTGCCTTCAACAAATTGAAAAAGACTTTGCACAATATAAATTTGAAGGTACTGATGTTCCTAGTAAAATACGAAAATGTGTTAAAGTTTACACTCACAAGAGACGTAAATCTATAGATGAAATAAAAAGTAAGCTTACAGATGTGAATAGTATAATTCAAAGTCCACCATCTACTGATTGTATAGACTTATTAGAAGAGCCGTCCACTAATGATATACCAGTTACACTTTTAACCTCATTAGATATGGAAAGTGCTGAGTATATTATAAGTTTAAGTACTGAAAATATTCAGTCTATAGTGGGAGCTACTCTAACTGAACAGGATACACTAAATACAAGTGAAGAACTTGAACAAATTATCGAATATCGTACCCAAAAAGATGAAATAAACAAAAAAGCATCAAATACTGAAAATATTGAAATTTCAAGTTGTACAAAACCAATATTACGGAGAAGTCTGCGATTAAATCAACAGGAAATAGAGGAAACGGTGAACAATAATGAAACTGTTAAGGATTCTAATGGAAGAGAAAAACATTTAAAAAAATCAAATTCCCTAAATAGAGCAGAACTATGTATTAAGAGAAAACGTAAAGTAAAGGACACAGACCGTAAGGTTCCAGAAGAAAGTATTAACAATGTAATGCAACCCACTAAAAAGACATTTAATAATTCACGTAAAAATACGTCAAAGTTAATTGTTAAAAGGAGCAATAAATGTACAATACCTAGCAAAGAAAAGGATGAGCAAACAGTTAAAATAGTAAATAAATTGAAGTGTGATGTATCAGATACTACAGAAATTGACTCTATGTTTACATTACCTAAATTAAATACAATAGAGCATATAAATCGTTCACTTTGGGGCGATATGTCAGATTTTTCAGAAAACTGTGAAAATAGAATGAATTTATTAGAATATACTCCAAACACGGAAATTCCATTTGCTGTTGGTTTACTACCTTTACGTACTGCTCTAGAAAAAATGCAAGCAACACCAGACTATCAACCTCGCAAAACTCGTTCATCAGTTGCTCCAATAAAATATGATAATAATAATTTTAAGAGAAAGAATTTTGCTCATTTTAGTAAAATTGCTGATTCTAAAAAGCAAAACAGTTGCATTAATGATTCAAAAGAGAATGCTAAAGCAGTTTGTCATATTCAAATCAGAACTGCGCCATCACAGTTTATACGAAATCGTAAAAAATATCTCTCAACAGATGTCAACACGTTAGAATCACCAATTATTATAAACAAACATTAATAGATGTTAAATGTTGTACAGAAAAACACGTGAAAATAGTAATTAAAACTAATAATTCCAGATGTAAATGTCAGAGAGAATAAGACAACATGCATGTAATTTTATAGTTTAAAAACATATTTTTAATATGAATCCGTTTGTATATAAAATATAGATACGAAGAATGATTCTGTGAGAAAATATATCTATATAGCTCCTTTATGTCTGTAAGAATTCAAGATATATTTTTTTACATTTTGGCCATGTTTTTTAATGCATATTAAAAAATTCTATACATGTATTAAATACTGCTGTAAGGTAAATACAAGCTTTTTTTATTGAAAAGAGAAATATTAATATGAATTTGTTACAAAATATTTTTGTTTATTACATTTTTATATCTAACAATACTTGTATATGTAGTAGTGTTTGAATATTTTATAACATTATTAGTTAATGTGTTCTATTTTATTGATCATATAAAATAAAACAAATTTTTCTAATGTAAATATTTTTTAATGAAAAAGAATGTGTCATTTATATATTTGATGCACATATGGGGCTATACATATATACATACATATATATAAAACGTATACTATGTGTATATATGGAATGATTTATGTGAATATATGAAGATTTTGCCCATGTTGTTTAAAAGTAGTGTACATAAATGTTTGAGAATTTTAGTTCGTTATTTTTTAGTAAATATATATTTTTTTTTGTGTGTGTGTAAAATGCGTGCATATCATTTGTACTAATGTAAATATTCGAATATTACATATTGCAATTTGATTCTGAATAACTAAGAATTCTTATATATTTTATACTA